CATATTTAAAAAAAAAATCAGTTTTAATTTATAAACGAAATGCTAAGTTAAAGGTAGGCTACACAAAATGAGGTACATGATACTAAAAGCAAGTTGTTAATTAACCGAAATAATGTGCTGTAGCGATAAGCTTTTAAACCCTGTAAAAATGAAATCACACAAGGCCATTAAATAGAGAAAATGACAATTTTTGGAGAATACACTGTGTTATGAGCAAGCACTGGAGTTTGAGACTTAGGTATGACTACTATCTAGAAGGTAATTTAAAAGTATAACATAGGAATGTGTATTGTTCTGTTTCAAAAAATTCCATGTTACCTAGAATAAGTGAAATATTATCGAGATAATATTACAATAGATAAAATAATAAGAAGTCCCAGATAGTCAGATTAGCTATGTAGTAGAAAGTTTATTGTCTTAAAGTTATTAGCATTTGTGAGAGGAAAAAAAGACTATTTTTTTTGGGTGGCCTATCTTAGTTCTATGTTTTTAGTATACCAACTACACAATTACGGAGTATTTCTTTAACAGTACAATCAAGTTTAGTCATTGGCAGGTTGCTATTTGCACTTCTCAATTTGAGTCACTATTAACATTGCTATTTTTAAAGTACCACAATTTATTTAGAAAGTAAACATTACACAAGAGAGAGATCGAGCTAAACAGCAACATTGTTTTCCACTACGTGATGTATGACATAAGGGATTATAGCTATCTATAGGAATCAACTTCGATTCAACACCTTTATTGTTGTAATTCAAACCTTTACTTTTAGGATCTATTTGTAGTTAATATTTAGTATTAAATAGAAAGTAGCTCATTTGCAACGGACTAATTTAAGTCAACCAAATTAATAGTTCATATATGTGTGTGTAAAATATAAGAAATTTTAAATTGTGGGCCCTAAATTTTAAGCATTCCTATGGGCCCTGAGGCCTCTGCCTCATCAGCCTCAAAGGAAGCACGGCCCTGGGTTGAAGACATGCTCCAATTGACACTTTGAAACTGTACGTACGAACTGTTAGACGGAGACGAAGAGCTATTGAGAGAGCGGCAAAAACACGTCACGGAATTGACGGAAAAAAGACTATTTTAACGTTAGTTGGCGTTTATAACACTCCCTTCAGTTCTTAATTAAGTTCGTAGTTTGACTTCACACATATTAAGAAATAAATTTGATTTTACTGTGGAGTGCACTGTTTGAACACTGTTTGACACTGCTTGAACACTGTTTGGCACTGTTTGACACTGTTTTGGTGTAAATCATTTGTCAAATAAGGAAAGGTTTGAAGTAGGGACTTTAATATGGACCATCCCAAAAAAGAAAGTAGGAACTTAATTACGGGACGGAGGGAGTATAAGCAAAGATAATACCGAGTATTTATTTGCAAACTTTGACCTCGTAAATGTAATGATTGTGATAGTAATTTTAGTCATAATAACTTGTATCCAATTTTTTCACTTAATTGGGTATTAGACAATATAATGTATAGATATAAGATGTTTACTTATGAAATAATTACATACATAACTAAAATATAAGTTGTTAACAAAAATGTGACCTCGTAAATGTAGTTACTATAGTAGTACTTTAGCCATAGTAAACCTACATTAAACTTTTACACTTAAGTGACTAGAATACTATACTACGAAGTATAATACTATTAATCATATTTTTGTAAATAAGACTCCCTTCATTAAAATTTATTTATTTATTTGTTTATCTAAAATCTAAAATCTTATAATAGTCAATGAAAGTTAGGGCGTTTAAGGAATGCATAAAATGTTGGTGTAATCATCTAGCTTAAATGGGCGGTACACTATGTTTTGTCGTGTGTACTTGAGGTACTTCATTATCAAAGGACTTAACTCCCCGTTTTATTTCCATCCGTTCCATCTCCCTGTCTTTCTCGCCTTCAATACACCATCCGTTCTCTCCTCTCGTAGCTCCAACGTTGCTAATTGCTATCATCCAGCTGCTCCAATCCACGCCTACAAACTCACCCGCTAACCCTCCAGGTATGTTGCCTTTCCGTCTTCTCCACTTGGTAGTGAACTTTGGTGACCTCTTTCCTGAACAATACCTTGCAATTGATTTCTATCAGGATGGTGGAGAAGCTTACACTCTATGCTTCAATACCTCAGAATTCAGAAGTCTACTACCACGCATCCTCGCGGTCTCTGCACGGTAAACACCTCCTCTGTCCAATTAGCTTCTCTTAAGACAAAAAACAGACCCTTGAGCTACCTGAAACCGTTTGCATTTCCTTCGCCAAAATACTCCACCTTCCTTGATACCCATCTCGAAGAATATAAATGGCCTTTTGTGAATCCAACTCCACCTAGAAATCAACATGTTTAGTCTTCTGTTGTTTGGAGTTTATCAATCAGATTAGTTTTGTTCAACTTTTCTGAAACTGGTTGAGGTTTTCATTGTTACTCATTTTAAACTCTATTCAAATTTAGGATTTTTGCATTACATTTATATATCTAAATATGATGTTATATAGAAAAAGTTATAATCTGCTCTATACATAGCCGTGTTTTTTATGTCCCATTTTGTGAGGATTAATACGGAGTATACCTCTTGAGTTAATGTGGTTTTCTAATGAAATGATAATGTGCTGTATAATTTCATTATAGTAGTTGTTACTGTTTGGGAATATTATTCTAATGTTTTTGTCATCTTTATTCAGGAAAACGAGCATGATAGCTCCATGGCAGTGTAAAAATGTTAGTTTCACATATACTCTAATTTCTGGATGTTTTTATTAAAAAAATATCAGCTAAAATGCTACTTTGTTGAGGCAAACTTATGTTATCAGTGTCAATTCTACTCTAATGTGTCATAGATTTTAATTGTAATGCTCATCATGATACAACAAATACCGAGTGGCTTAGACAACCGCTTTCAAAATGTCCAAAATCATCAAGTGTTACTTGAAGGAGGTTTTGGTCATTTATTTATGAGCTAAATTATCTTCACCTGACCATGTTGCACATTTGTTGAATTATGCAAGGTTTATTATTCACTGAAATGTAAAGACTATTTTTCTGATTGATCAGTACTAATTTTTCACATGCTAAATACTAAAAACAATCATATCAAGATACAACGTGCAAGTATTTAACAAAAATCATTGGGCATTTGTTAAATCGCGCAACGCGCGACCATAACTAGTTTATTTATAAATATGTATAATTCGTGAACCAACAAGTTAAAATTGGTTGGCTTGATCTCAATTCGACTGTGTAACGAGTTGGTTCGAATTCGATTATAATTCAAATTTGATCAAACTCGATTCAAGTTTTAATGTGACTCGTTAGACCCTACATATACCAGGACGGTAGTATCCAGCAGGGTAAAATTGTGAAACATGATAAAAAACAAATTTGCAATCATCAATTTACTCGCTTTTCACCTCAAAGAAATGCTCCAACAGTCCAACCCAAAGTATTGTGGGGTGCAAAGTGTATTGGGACGAAAAATGCTTGGTGCACAGAAGATGTATACACCATTTTTGTACACTTGTCTGTCTCAGACAGACAAATTATCTGTGTCACAGACAACTCATATATAAATTGTCTGTGACGGACAACTTATTTGCCTGAGACAAACAAGTGTACAAAAATGGTGTACACATAGCAAAACCCGTATTGGGACACCTTTGAAGTGGGAATTGAATGGGATTTTGATGGAAGAGAGAAGCAAAAATGCGCCTGGGAATGTTGAGTTGTTGACGACATGTGGCAAAAATAAGTGGGCCATTCAAAATATAATATCCCAATTATATTTAAAGTGTTATGTAATATAAGTTTTTCATTTCTATTCTAATTTTTACAAAAAAAAGTATCAAAATTGGTAACTTATAATGATCCTTTATATGACATCAATATTGAATATATAAAATTAAAATAAAGTTTTGACTTTTTACTCTCGGGGGTTTTCAGACTCAAATTTTTTCTTAAATAAAGTTAAGTGCTAAAACTAATACTTCACGACTAAAACATTTCTCTTTTTATATTATTGTAATCAATATTATGTGTATTTCTTGTATTATGTTGTTAATATTTAAATTCAACAAGTTGTGCTTCAGTGTATGTACATGTACATACTACTAAAATTTAAAAGTAGTAACATAAAAATATAGTAAATAACGTAATATTGTATGTAGTATATAGTAGTACATATTTTGATAGGAAACTACAATTTAATTGAAGTTAAGATCAAATGTGCATATTTTAATACCTTTGAAAAAAAATATTGGTACTAATTATTGGTAAAAACAAATTGTCACATAATTGATGTGTGATAATGAAAGTAATAATTTATACATTTATTTTAAAAATTATAGTGAGTAAATATATATTGATGGTGTTGAATTGTAGAAAAAAATTAATTGATTGAGAGCCCGTTTGGCCGTATGGTGACACTTTTTTTTCGACTTATTAGGCTTATCGATCGGTCAGCTTTTTCACCAAACACATACTTTTTACTTCCGTGTGCTGAATTTTGTAATAATAAGTAAATGTAAGGTTGAAGTTACTTTTCTGGCTTTATTGACAGAAGTCACTGTAGAAGATCATTTTAACTATTTTTCATATAATTTTTTATTTGCATTTATTAGTAACAATATTTAAAATATAATTTTTTCATTGTAGTCCGAATTTCACAAAAGGCGCGTGGAGTGTTGTTGATGGACTCTTTTTTGGCCGCAAAAATTCCTTTTGTACACGTTTTTGTACCCATCAGTACACGCATGTGTCTGTGAGAGTTTTTTTTTGTCTGTGAAGTGCGGTCCACAGACAAAAGCTGGTTTGTTTTGTCTTTGAAATTTTCCACAGACAAAACAAGCGAACTTATGTCTGTGGACCGCGCTTCACAGACAAAAAAAACTCTCACAGACACATGCGTGTACTGATGGATACAAAAACGTGTACACCAAGAATGGTTGTTTTGGCAGGTTTGCTTATTCTTTACCGAGCAAAAAAGTTACGAGATCAATTACAGTACCTTTCGTCTTAGCTGTTGCGCCCTGAAAATAATTGTACGGCTCCTTGGAGTAAACCAAAAGGTAGGTAGACGAAATAAACAGAGCAAAGGGATCTAGCAATTCCAAGCCACTTCTCGGAAGGATCAGCGGATCAAACGTTCATATTCACCCGCCACAATACATCGACCCGTCCCGTCCGTTCTCAATCATTTTCTCCTACGCCTACTTGAAGATTCTAGCATTGCAATTCTTTGAAAGCTTCATCTGCGAAGAAATTGGCCGTAGCCAGAACTGACGGCCCTGAAATCCAACTGCTTCGACCAATTTCCTCACTCATGTGTCGAAACCCTAGTCCTGTATCTCATTTACGCTAGGGTTGGAGCTTTATCGGCTCCGTAATCAGGGACTCCAAATTGATGTGTATGTGTTAAATAATGAGGGGATTGAATTTAGTTTACACCAGAAGAAGTCCCCGATTTCGTGGCTTAGCTAATGGATTGTGTTTATTCGCTCTAATTTTCCTACTTTACATCCGGGGAGATGTCTTGAGGAATCCGCATCCTCTGCAATCATTACCTTCAACCGAGTGGACGTCTAGAAGCGGTCACGATGCTTGGTCAAACCATATGAGAGTGATCCGTCGCGGGATGGTAGAAGTCGATGGTAGTGTAAATGGGTCGGATCCTGTTGATATATCTATTATGAAACCTGAGGTCTGTAGTGGAGTTTATGAACATAGGGGGTACAGTAGTGGTTGTGACTTCTTGAAAGCTCACCCAAAGTGCATGTCTGGAGGGTTCTTTGATTACATAAAGTTCTATTACTGCAGTTGCAGCGAAAGCGGATGGGCTTACGTAGCATTTGCTCTCTGGCTAGCTACGCTCTTCTATCTGTTGGGTAACACCGCGGCAGATTACTTCTGTTGTTCCTTAGAGAAACTCGCCAGTTTGCTGAAGCTATCACCCACTGTTGCAGGCGTAGCTTTGCTACCCCTGGGGAATGGGGCTCCGGATGTCTTTGCAAGTATTGTTTCTTTTGTGGGGACAGGTGCCGGTGAAGTCGGCCTTAATAGTATTCTAGGCGGGGCTGTATTTGTAACTTGCATTGTAGTTGGGGCTGTTTCTCTTTGTGTGGCTGATCAGTATGCTCAGATTGACCAAAAATGCTTTATTAGGGATATTGTGTTTTTCATTGTGACCCTTTTTTCGCTTTTATTGATCTTGGTTTTCGGTCGGGTAAGCTTTATAGCTGCGGTTGCATTTTTGTCAATTTACATTATTTATGCTTTTGCTGTTGCTGCTAATGAGATTTTGAGAAAACATGCCCGCAGACTGAAGTTGGATTCAATCACTCCACTTCTTCCCGTGAGAGGAAATGTGTTTTCTCAAGGAGCAGAAGAGGATTACTCCATATATACCCCTTTTATTGACCTTGAAACAGAAACCAGTGATGGTGAGCAGTCACACAGCTCACTCCCACAGTGGATGTGGTCATCAAATCTGGCGATATATTCAAACCAGACCATTAGGGTGCCCGACAGCGAGTGGCCTTTATGGGGATGGAATGACCAAGACTTTGAAGTTGATGAACACACCACCTCATTCAACTGGTCAAAGTTATGGTCTCTACTCGAGCTTCCCGCGGCATTGCCAAGACGGTTAACGATTCCCTTAGTTTCAGGAGAGACTTGGTCAAAGTTTTATGCTGTTTCCAGTGCTTCTCTGGCCCCAGTTCTTCTGGCATTTCTCTGGTGCAATCAAGACAATGTCAGTAATAACAGCAAACTCATATCATTTATCATTGGGGTTTCAGCTGGATGCACTCTTGGTCTTCTTGCTTACATGTTCACAAGATCAGACCATCCACCTCACAAGTTTTTGTTCCCATGGGTCATGGGAGGTTTTTTTATGAGCATTGTGTGGTTCTATATTATTGCGAATGAGCTTGTCGGCTTGTTGGTTGGACTAGGGGTGATGATGGGAGTGAATCCTTCAATCCTCGGTTTGACCGTACTCGCATGGGGAAACTCGATGGGTGATTTGGTTTCAAATGTTGCCTTGGCAATGAATGGTGGGGATGGTGTGCAGATGGCCTTTTCCGGATGTTACGCTGGTCCAATGTTTAATATACTGATTGGTTTGGGAGTATCAATGTTGATTGGAGCCTGGTCAGAGAAACCCAATTCCTATACTCTCCCACTGGACAAAAGCTTGTATTCCACAATGGCTTTCCTTATGCTCGGACTACTATGGTCCCTGGTCGTCCTTCCTAGAAACGAGATGCGGCCTAACAGAATGCTAGGTGGTGGTCTTTTGCTCATCTATTTGGTATTTCTGTCTGTTAGGCTGAGCAGTGCTATGGGAATCCTGGGGTTATCTGGTCTTCAATGACTGGTTATAGGCTTATAGCTATAACATGTATGAAGAAATATTGCAATATATACTAGCTGTTCTTCGAATTGCCTTGATGTATGTATTTTATCGCAATGAGATCAGGTACAAAATTTCTAGCGAACAAATACAGCTCATTCTAACCACTCTAAGTGAACTTTTTGCTGGAGAAATGTGTATATGTCTAGTATTATTGTTCTATCTGTGATGTAATTATATTCTTCTCTATAGGAATAAATACACGTTTAATGCTGTGTTTGGTTTAATATAGTCATATATTTCCACTTGAGTCCCAAGTCCTAACATATTGATATTTTCAATATTTAAAATGTATTCTTTCTTTGGAAGATTAAAGTGTATTCTGTTATCAAATGGAGTTGCATTTTAATTTAGAAAATCATTTTTATGGGGTAAGCTTCTTCTTAAGATATTTCTATCGATGGGGTAATTTTTCTTAAATCTCTGGATGATACATTTCACAGTTTCACTTCATTATTGTAATAATGAAACAATAAGCAGGTGACTACCCGGCTCAGTCACAATGAGATTTTCCTCGTGATTTCTTCTATAGTTCTATCTACAAACATACAAAAGTTCGTCTACTTTTATCTATCAATTTTATGTGTGCTTAGAATTGCTTTTCGGTTGAGTTCAATTGGCCCCCAACCAGAACGCCACCCTTTTCTCTTATTCTAAAAAATTCTCTCTTAGGACATGTTTACTTGGGAGGCTAATAAGCACTGCTTATTAAACCTCCCCTTAATAAGCAATTCTTAATAAGACACGTTTAGTACGCATGTGTTTACTTCAATATGATTTCATGCGTAGAAACACAAATATGTGTGTACTTAATTAGGTTTAAAATATGTGTTAAATGTAAAAAGTCAAAAATAGCCTTCAACTTATCATCTTCATTACTGTATTAGCTAATAAAAACCTAGCAGGCTTTGTTGCTCTTTATCCTCACCGGAGGAACCCCTCTGTCCCTCTCTGTAGTTTCGGCTAATAATTTATCTACACAAACTCCAAAATCCGCCAATTTCCATTGCAAAGCTATGAAGAATGAGGAGTTCATGAGAATAGAATGGGTAAACTCCAAAATTCACACTCTATAATTCGTTAGTTTGTGTTCTCGTGGGTTTTGAACAGATACTATGATATTACTATCCGATATAGTTCAGTAATGGAGAATAATTTTTTGGTTGAATTCACCATTGATTTCTATTTTCTATTCTAATTGACCGAAGGTAATTTAATTCAAAGATGTGATTAAATATTGACTAAATTGAAAAATAAACAAATAAGAACTAACATAAACGAAGAGATTCACTCCATATAAAACAGCAGTGCAGATGCATAACAAATATAGAACAGAGCCATATCTCCGATGGCGTAGCATAGGCGGGAGGAAGAAGATTGATGGCAACATGGTGTGTCGGCAAATGGTTGCAGGTTATACGTTGCGTGTTTGAAAGGATAATAATGTAAATAATTTTTAATGTGCGTTATAAAGTAGGGTTACGATGGCCAATATAAAAAAGGGTAAAACGTTGGCTATTTAATACATTGGGGGTGTGGGAGTTTAGTACGCAGCTACATAAGCGGCCAAAGTCCTTATTAAGGACATGTTTACTTCACCGGTTATTAAACGGTGCTTATTAAGACCCGTGTTAATAAGCGGCGCATAAAATAAACAATGTTGTAAGACCGTGTTTACTTCAAACGGTTTAAAACACCGCTTAACATTAAAATGTCCAAAATAACCCTACACATATATATATACACAAACATTCATGAACACAAGTATATAATATAATATGTGTACCCATACCCCTAACCCCTTACCCACCCTACCTTACCCCGACCCCCTACCCCTACCCTACCTACCTGACCCCACCCTACCTACCCGACCCCACCCTAACCTGTCCCCACCCTACCCTACCCCCGACCCCATAGGCCCCTACCCCCATAGGCCCGTAGGGGTAGGGGTAAGGTGGGGTCGGGTAGGGGTAAGGGTAGGGGTGGGGTGGGGTGGGGTAGGGTAGGTGGGGTGGGGTCGGGGTAGTGGGGTAAGGGTAGGGTGGGGGTCGGTTAGGTAGGGTAGGGGTGGGGTAGGTAGGGTCGGGGTGGGGTAGGGTGGGGTCAGGGTAGGTGGGGGTAAGGGTAGGGTGGGGGGTCGGTTAGGTAGGGTAGGGGTGGGGTAGGTAGGGTGGGGGTAGGGTAGGTGGGATGGGGTCGGGGTAGGTGGGGGTAAGGGTAGGGTGGGGGGTCGGTTAGGTAGGGTAGGGGTCGGGGTGGGGTAGGGTAGGTGGGGGTAGGGTGGGGTCGAGTTAGGGTGGGGTCAGGGTAGGTGGGGTAAGGGTAGGGTGGGGTCGGTTAGGTAGGGTAGGGGTGGGGTAGGTAGGGTGGGGTCGGGGTAGGGTAGGTGGGGTAAGGGTAGGGGTGGGGTCGGGGTAGGTGGGGTAAGGGTAGGGTGGGGGTCGGTTAGGTAGGGTAGGGGTGGGGTAGGTAGGGTGGGGTCGAGGTAGGGTGGGGTAAGGGTAGGTGGGGTAAGGGTAGGTGGGGTAAGGATAGGGTGGGGTCGGGGTAGGGTGGGGTTGGGGTCGAGGTGGGGCAGGGATAACAATAGGTTACGGGCAAGGGGTAAATTCGGAAACTGAAAAAGCTTAAAGTGCCGCTTAATTAATACATGGGGGGTGATATGCTTAATAAGCGGCACTTTAAGCACCTCTTTCGGTTAGTAAGCGGCTTTTTAAGCAGTGTGCGTGTTTACTTCACCTGTCTTACTAACCTAACTGTGACTTTAGCAGTGAAGTAAACACCTCCTAAGTGTCGCTTTATCCGTGTGAATTGTTGACTTCACTTGTATAAGTAACCTAATAGTAAAATAAACAATGAAGTAAACATGTCCTTATTCTAAAAGAGGATGACATCCTATCTTTGAGAGGCTCAACATCGGACGGATAGTTAATTAATAGGATGTTAATTAGATTTTAATCACAAGCTGGCAGATAGCGAGTAAGGTTTGACTCAGGTACTTGTAGAGACTTACCTCTTGTAGTACCCCATATCTACCATTTGAGCTACGCCCACTGGCCCCTTTTCTCTTATTCTTATTTTGGACCCCAAATATAAGTAGGCATGTCAAATCCTTTTTTATTTGCACTACCTAAGAACACCTATAATGCAAGCCTGTGAACGGTGCACATGTGACATGAGAGAGATAGACACAAGAATTAATAAGTAGGATATCTCTCTCCTTATTTGAACAATCATATATGTTTTCTTAAGTTCTCTTCACAATGTCAAGCACAATGTCTACATATAGACATTGTGATTGAAAAACTACATTATTTAGAAAAACTTGTCAAAAATGCATCTTGTGGAAAGAAGAAGAGAAAATGTCATGATATATTCTTTTGTGTATATCTTTCTTATGCTACATATGCAGCATGAACATTGTAGCATTGAAGATGCTCCAATGCTTCGCATAAACTATTTTAGTTATCTACCTTTCAATCTTTCATAAATAACTTTGAACATAAAATCATGTGCACATTTATGAAGACGAGTCTATCAAAGGTAGGGGCAGAACCAAGACACAGAACCGGACTTGACCGGTACAAAGAATATTTTTGAAATTTTTTACACGGAATTTATTACTTCAAAAGTTAAGACATTTTTAGATTTGGGGTGAGTCAGGACTTAGGTTAGCCCCTAGCTCAGCCCCTGATCAAAGGGTAAGATTTGGATCAAAATGAGCTAAGTCCAAACATGTAACTTTTTGAAAAACAAAATTACCACACTTGTATGATTGTATTTGAGACAAGTGAGGTCTATCTTTTGTACCTCTAGACCCGTTCTCATTTGAAAATGGTACCGTACAAAATTGAATTTGGGCCTTAGGGTTTCAAAGATTTCCAATACATTTTTATTCGAATTTATATACTCCCATTCTTATTAGATTCTTGGATTGAAGATTGAAAATATTTTGCTTTTGACTTTTCTAAAATACCCTTTATTGTAGTGTTTTTACCCCTACACATGGTAAAGATCTGGAACATTACTATCGAGAGAGAGCAAGTTGGCGTAATTTACGGAACGAGATCCTCTGCCACACGGCAGAGTGCCTTGCGCGTAGAGGTCCGTCCGATGGAGAAGAGAGGATTTCGAGATCTGTGCGTTAAAATCTTCGACCGTCCACGTTTTGATCGGGCGGTTCCCGAGAGCCGGGCACGGTGCCTTGCTTTGAAGTATTGCAGAGGCTACGGATCGGTAATTTACATCCACAAAAGCCAAAAGAACAAGCTGGAGTAATTTACAACCACATATCCTAATGTACTTACCCCCAAATAATGCAAAGCATAGAAAACTTTCAGATTCCCCCGAGTTCGTACCTACTCCGTATATTAAAGAAATCGGATTGGGAAGAGATCTGGCCGCGTGACCTGGTCACGGGTCAACCCAGATCCGGTCGGATCAACCCGGTCAACGCTATAAAACCGGTCAACCATTTAACAATAATAAACATAATTCATAATTGTATATAAAATTAAAATAAAAGGAAGTTATTTCATAATAATCAACTAATAATAATACTTACTATACACTTTCTTTTTTGGAAGAATACTTACTATAAACTTAAAAGTTAAAAAAGTCTCATAATATTCCAAAATACCAATTTGATCTTAATAAAATATAGTGATACATTGATACCCCATATTTGTTATTTTTATTGGACATGATTTTTATTATTAGACAAATAAATAGTACTCCGTATATAAATATATTGCATATTTTTTCTTTTTAGGGTATTGGAATTGTAATTTTATTGGTTAAAAATGCTTTATTTTTTTTAAAAGAAGAAAAACAACCAAAACCGGGATTTTCCGGGTTTATCAGATTTTTCAGGTCCGGATTTTTCCGGTTTTTGACCATTTCCGGATTTTTAATTAACCGAACCGAGTTTAGGTTCGGGTCGACCCGGCTGAGTTGGGTCGGTTTTTTAAACAGGTTCGTACTTCGTACCACTTCCCTCTTTTTTCATATTACATCCAAAGTCTCCTAAAATATACTCCGTACAAAATGTATGGGGTATAGATTTCACATATCACATTATGTGAAATTATTGAAATTTCACATAACTAATTATTAGTTATAAAAATAGTTTTTTTAGATTTTCTTGTTTGCATAATCTTATCACTTACCAGATGTTCTTTTTTAAAATATTGAAATTATTAAGTAAAAAATTTGTAGAATAGAAACGTAAGGTCGGTTTGGAATTAGTACTACGG